TTCCCCAGAACTCAACCTTCTCTTTAAGCTTAACGTGAAATTAAGGATTTTAACATGAAACCATGCAATAAGACCTATACCATTTAAAGGCACAAATGCCCGGTTGTCTGTATATCATGTACATAGTGTATGAATGGTAATTTTTGTTTTTCCCTCTTCATTTCTGTTGCAAACGAGGGCCTCGCAACCTTTTCAGATATATCTCACTCTGGGCGGTCAAGTTTCTCGGGATGACGGGTCGGTCTATTTTTAGACAGATCGGTATTAAATACCACTTAATGATAATAAACTCGTTTACCTTACCCTAGGTCAATGGTATTATGTATCAGGATCATTCTCAACCTACATAATAGGATGTAAGTGATACCTAACGTATGTAGAAGGAAGTTGTATATATACACCTGTATATACTCACTGATCAAGACGGTTTGTACTCGGTTTTAGTCCCACCTTCTCTCTCTCTCTCTCTCTCTCTCTCTCTCTCTCTCTCTCTCTTCTCTCTAAATATATCCCTCTCTCTCCCTTCACCCATCATTACCTTTGACAACTATTCATAAACGTGTAACTTAAAAGTGTTTTAAATTTAGTCCCATTTTAAGAAAAATGTCTGTCTGTCTCTCCCTCTCTCTCTTTCTCTAGTTATCTACCCAGTCTCTCCAGTCCCTCCAGTCTCCACGTAACACTTCTCTGTCCTGTATTTCGCTCGCCCCCCCCCCCCCTCTCTCTCTCCCTTTTTCTCACATCACCCCCTCATTCCCTTTGACAACTATTTCTTAAAGTGTAACTTAAAGGTGATTTAAAATCAGTCCCATTATAAGAATGCTTGAATTTCTCTGTCTTTACAACTCTCTCTCTCTCTCTCTCTCTCTCTCTCTCTCTCTCTCTCTCTTTTTCTCCTCCCTCCAACCCTCTCTCCCCTCTCGCTCTCTCTCTCTCTCTCTTTACCTCCTCCCGCCCCTTCTCTCTATACTACTATATATACCTCTCTCGCTATCTCTCCCCTCTTTCTTTCTCTCTCTCTCTCTCCCCTCCTCTCCTCCCCCTCCTCCCTTACCCTCGCTCTCCCTCCCTCCATACAGCTCCATCCTCTTCGTGTACGTCACGATTCACCAACACATAGGTGGTCCCGACACAAATGTGTTGTCAATCTTCTAGAAAATAAGGAAGAAAAGAAAATACGGAAGAAAAACATTTAGGCGACAAACACATTTCACAATTTGTCGTTATTTGTCACAGCCTGAACAGAATCAACCGGCTAGAGCAGAAAATCCTCCGCTGATCCTAAGTCAAAGTAAGGTCGAGTAATAAGGGTGACATACAAGATCCTTGGGGATTGACCAATTAGTCCAAGACGTGTTCTCAGGACCAGGAACGGTGACAGTATCATAAAAGGAAGTACATCGCTTTCTCCTTCTTCCAAAACAAAAAGGAAGCTTGTTTACGAATGGTTTCTTTTAAATCTTAATTTACATATTGAACATAATGACATAAAATAGTGTTCAGTTAAGACACCTTATTTGAATTGTGTGCTTTAATATATCCAGAAAGGAAAGCATATTCAAAATATAATTTTCCAAAAAAAAACAACACATATAAAACATTAGAATGATAAATGGCAAATACTCTTAACCATATTAAATGTGTTATTAGAGAGTCGTATACTAAAAAAAATATTCTACAATCTAACCAATAATGATATTGTATCTTGCTGCATGGGTGCGTGTAATTCTTCTTCTTCTTCCTTTTCATTCGTAACTACAGTAGCTAATTCCTTGTCTGAGGTTTGTCCTGCAGCTTAAATGCAACATGTTGGGGTCGGACACCTAATATGACTGGTAACGATGTCATTACATGTAGCCATAGTAACGTAACCCGCACACTTAAACCATGTTAATGCTTAGGTATTATGACGTCAGTTTTTAGGTAATCTATAAATTCCAGCTTCAGCAAAATCATACTAGTTTACAGCGATTAATGCGAACCTTCCATACTCAAATTAATTATCATTGAGCATTCCTGAAAACAATAATTATATGCATTGTGATGTCTACTTGTAATTGAGTAGATGACGACAAATATATTGTTTTGTTTCGAAACAGTGACTGTATATGTTCAGTGATGGTTGATAAGTTTTGGGGGAAAAATAGCAAAAATATTCTTATTTTGATGAATGTAGAACATAACCCGTAGACGTTTGCTTTGAAACGCTTGACTGCCCAAACATGAAACCATAACCAATTCATTCGCTGAATAATGAATATCTTAAGGGTTATTGGGTTTGCAAAATATTTACTATTAAAGGTGATTGATCTTCAAAAATAGAAAAATGGTAAAAAGGAAGAAGAATATCAACGGAAAACAGAAGGAAGAGGGAGAGAGAGATGGGTGGGGTGTGAAAGAGGGGAGGGTGTGAGACGTATCGATAGTAATAGAGAGATAGAGAGAGATGGAGAGATAGAGATAGATAGATAGATAGATAGATAGAGATAGAGAAAGAGAGAGGAGAGAGAGAGAGAGAGAGAGAGAAGAGGGGGGGGGGGGGAGGGAAGGCAGACAGTGACAAAGAGAAAGAGGCAGGGGTGCGAGATAGCCAACACCCAATGAGAATACTCCCCCCCCCCCACCCCCTAATTCCCGAAATTTGACAGGGAGCATGTATTTGTTGTTATCATTATTATTGTAGAAAAGCATAGAATATATTATTCTGCCACTCAGCCTGCCAAAATCAGCCTAATTATCTCCATCTTTTGGTAGGATTTCAACTTAATTGTCATAATGCCTGCAAGCTAATCGAAATCAGACTGTAGTGATGATCCCCAAATAACCATGATTACTGTCAATTAAAATCAATCCCCACATGACAACCTTGTGAAAGCTATGGATCATTTTGCATTCATTTAACAGGGAGCAGCAAAATATAATCTAAACTTAACAACAACAAAAAAGCGCGAAGGATCCACAATCACCAACGTAATTAGCCGGTAGCTGAATAAAAGATTTGAAAATAACACAACGAGGATCTTCATTAATCTGTGAAATATGTGACGTGTGTCCTCGACTTCTCGTTCTAGATGTGAATAGGGGTAGAATAGGTACAGGTATGCCGGTGCAAATTAGATTATTTTGTTCGCATTATGTGGAAGATATTTGTCCCCGGGCCGTTATCTCTTTAGACCCTTTTGAGGCGGGACGTTTTGCGGTTGTTACCAAAGTACAAGTAGATGGAATACCCAGCAAATGAAAAATTGGAAAACGGTTTCCACAAGTTTGAAAAGATGTTGGCATTCCCGAAGAACATTATTTTTGGACTATTGTGGTACATTCTATTAAAGTCAATTTTGTGCATACTTAAGCCGACATTTACAAAATCCTTGCATGCTTTTCTTAAGGTTCGACAGCTTTTAATAAATAAGATTGATGGTAACAAGTATTTCTTGATAATTTGTATATAATGTACTCTGCTTCAAACCTCGTCATGATAATAATGGTCCTTTTTGGTATATCCCTCGTTTATCACAAGTTTGTCCTTCCAACATTGACTAAAATGCCTTTTAAGAAAATGACTAGTCACCTATAATGATCTGAAATAAATAATGTTAACTTTAATTTGTCTCTGGTGGTCTATCTTCTCACACGACATCGCAGTCACATGATAATTTGCCCATGAAGAGACATGATCTTTTTCATGTAAGAGGTAACACTGAGCGTTACTCGGAGGGAAAAAGGACTCTCAAGAAAGGTTAGTTTTTTAAATTTTTTGATACGCCCGTTTACAAAAAGTTGATATTTATGAAATTATGAAAAGGAGAGAAGAAGAGAGACTAAGAAAAGAGAGAAAGAGAGAGAGAGAGAGAGAGAGAGAGAGAGAGAGAAAGAGAGAGAAATGCAGGATGGATATGATCTATGCGGAGAGATTGGGTAGCTAGATGGATAAAGAGAGAGACAGAGAGAGAGAGAGAGAGAGAGAGAGAGAGTTGTGACGACAGAGAGGAGACGTATTAATAAAAATAATGGGACTCACTTTAAAACACGTTTAAGTTACAAGTTTAAGAATAGTAATTGTTTAAGGGAACAAAGGGATGGGGGAAGGAGATAGAGAGATAGATAGATAGAGAGAGAGAGAGAGAGAGAGAGAGAGAGAGAGAGAGAGAGAGAGAGGGATTGGGTAGAGAGAGAGAGTGTGTGTGTGTGTGTGTGTGAGAGAGAGAGAGAGAGAGAGAGAGAGAGAGAGAGAGAAAGAGAGAGGGGGGGGGGGAGGTGGTTATTAACTGGGTTGGAATAAAAATAATTACAAGTCTGAAAGTTAGAAAAATAAACATGTTGAAACAAAATGCACTAACATTTTGACCGGAACCCCCCTCCCCCCAAAAAAATAAAAAGAAGAAGAACGAAACAACAACAACAACAAAACAAAAAGAGAGGGAGAGAGAATAAGAGAAGAAAAGAACAAATAAATCATTGCATCAACATTACAAGTTTTTAAAGCATCAATTTTGTAAGAAGCATTCCGTCTATTAAAAAAGATAGAATAAAGACGGGCAAAATTGAAGCTGTTTTTAACGGTTGTACATACAATGGAACTAACTTGAATACTAACAATTTCTAAACTTTCCCTTCACGAAATTTATCGAAACTCATTCGATGAGTGAGTTCAACCGTACTGTCCCTTTTCCCAAATTCATAGCGCACAAAAACGGGCGAGGATTGACTTGACAATAGCATCAAATCGCGATCGAGAGAAATAAAGCGTTGAGAGGAGAGAGAATAGGCAGTAAGCATAACAAAAAATATCGGGAGATAAAGAAGTGAGGGCATCGAGAGTTGAAAACGTGCCTTACAGGGCGAGGTAGGGGTTCAAAATGTCTTTCAGAAAACCTCCCCAACAAAAAAAGCGTACGAATCATGCATGGAGCAAGCTGGGTCGAGTTTGTGCGAGATGATTGTTTCGCGAACGAGCGAGCTCAATTCACAGCGCGCGAGCGACCAAATAGATTTATTGGCATTTACCAATTCGACCAACAAGCGAACGGACGCATTCTTTTTGTACGCCAAGAAATCAGACTATTTTTGACGTATAATTATTCCGCGCACTTTTGCTCGTCGAAGCTTTATAGAACCGTCTGACAGAGCATCAATATTTGTCAAAAACTTCTGACATCTTGACTTGGTGGCCTAGTGTGTTTTGGAACGATTTTCGCGTCGTGCTTTTGTTTTGGTAGCTGAAAAGGGGATTTTTCTCCTTTTTTTCTTCTTGTTATCGTCGCGATTGTGGAGATATATTTTGCTTGGGAGGTGTTTTGGTTGTGGTTTATGAAGGAATAACGATCAGGACTTGACAGCTCTTGTGGAAGGTAAGATTTTGTTTTGTTTTCTTGTCTCGTTTTAGGGATGTTTTTGTGAAGGTGGCCGTGATGGTGATGGGTGAGTGGCAATTTGTGCCTGGGGCGATCATTTATGTTTTGGGGTAAAACTGATTGACAGTTTTGTATCCAGAAAATTCTCAAGGGCACCTTGAAAGATATTTTTTCAATGCTCTCCTTCATTATTTTATGTAGATAAATAATTGTCATCAAATCAAGGCAGTAAGCATGTAGCAATTAAGTTGCTCAAAGAAATTTTAAGTTCATGATTGTCTAAAGAATGTTTCCAGCTAACTCTTAAGGGCATTTGAATGAAATTTCTTTTTATTTTCTCCATCATTTCTGGATGATATTCAATGATTTCAACGAGTTTAAAGTCCATGAATTAAAATTGTAATCATTTTTCTTAGGATATTTGTTTTCTTTCAGTATTCGTTTTGATTAAAAAGACATTGGTTTGGTCGAACTCACGTGAGCAAGAATGGACGGCGAAAATCAGAGAGGGGGATAGGGTGAGGGGGGGGGGGGGGGGGGGGGAGGGGTTCAAATATTTTTTCGATTCATTTTGCAATGATGAAGACGAACTACTATGCGGTGTAAAATCATAGTCAACGATGAGAGATTTCGAGATGTTCAATGTTGCTCTGTAAAATTCTTATGCTGTTTTACGAATTTGTCAGCTCTCCCCATGATGATCGTTCAATCTTCTTTTATTACATGTGAATGTTGAAACTGTCTGTAATTGAATGTATGTATTATCATCTATGATTATCTGCACATCCTCAACCTGAAACTCTTTGTTTTGTAAATAATTGTCATTTGAAACGGGATAATCTTATCATGAGAGACAATAATTTAGTGGGGAGTTACCTGATCTTTTTAAAGGGATGCCAGGGATCTTAGTGTCTTAATCATGATAATTGAACAAAATCGTGTCTTTTTTGAGCATTCTTGCGAAAGGGCGACCAGAATAATTTATAACTTCCTGATTATGATTTGATATTTAATCAAATATATCTCCGTTATGTATTCCACTTTTATGTGTGCAATATAAACGAATTGGTCTGGACATTTTCAACGGCCTGACATAGCAACACCTCTCCACATATTGATGATTCGACGTTGAAAGTTTTTTAAATTAAATTCACTGTCAAATTAGTAGGCCTACTTGCTAATAACAAAAGAGTGAAGATGATATGTGAGAGAAAAATGGACGTGAGAGAAAAAGGAAACGGATAGAAAAATTGAGAAACATAGTAAAATATAGTAAAGGAGAGAAAGAGAGGAGGGGGGGGGGGGGGCGTCGTAGAAAGGGAGAAACAAAGTGACCAAGAAAGAAAGAGCTAGAGGGTAGGAAGTAATTCACCAAGAAAAGGGAGAAATTAAGAAAGCAGAAATAAAGAGGGTGAGAGCGAGAGAGAGAGAGAGGAGAGAGAGAGAGAGAGAGAGAGAGAGAAAGCAAAAAGAAGATAGATATATATATATATAGATAGATAGGTAGGTAGGTGGATATATTGGTATGTAAAGAGAGAGGGAGAAAGAGAGAGGGAGGGAGAGAGAGAAACAGAGAGAGAGAGAGAGAGAAGGAGACAGAGAGAGAGAGAGAGACAGAGAGGAAGATAGAGAGAGAGAGAATGGTGTAACAAACAATCATGAGTGACTGCCGATGCACAGACGAAGAACATGATAAAACAACATTATTCAATTAGAGCATTACATTCAAGGTTAAATAGATTAAACATCTCGCGTCGAAATGTTTGCCAAAATTCATTCTTGCATTGACTGACCAGAGATACCGGCATGCCAAATCGATCACAGAATGTACGTCAGTGCAGGACACAGATGCGAGATAAAATGTAGTCGCCCCCACCCTCATCCATTTATATTTAGAGGTACTTCAACCGGCAGCACTTTGAAGTAATGTTATTAAATTATGAGACTGAATTTGATTAATAATTGTCGACCCATTACAGCAATTCTCATCCGCTCAGAGTCTTCATGTTTAAGATAAATTTTACAAAAAAGAAGCATTTTGAGAACACATGCATGTGTCGAGGTATCTATGTAGTGGTCCATTCACCTGACTCTCAGTCGAAGAGCTCTGGGTTCGAATTCCAGCCCGACGTTAACCTCCTCTGGCAAGGCATTAATCCACATTTGCCACTCTCCATCCAGGTGTGGATGGGTACCTGGCAATTGCGCGGGTATATAAATGCAGGGCCCTCAGGAAGATCAGTTTTTTTCAAAATACTGATGTGGCTACTCTATATAAATAGGGACCAATCATAATTCATATACATCTCAGTTTAGTCGTATCATCGTTTTTTATCGTTACTTTATTTAGCTATTTTTTGTTTTTGTTATGAAATATCAAACCTCGGAGAATCATTAAATCACAGATTCTGATTCTTTAACATTCTTTAACAATAATACTGATATTAAGCATGTTCATGTTATGCCCCCAAGTGGATACCATTACCATCAAACAAACCATTTGATTCCGTTCGATATTTGGCACTGGCAAGAATATGTAGCATGGTTAGGTTACGTCGTGCTGCCTTGTTTCTAACTCGCAATATTTTGATTTAACAGTCCACTTCGTTTCACATTCGATTTTACCAGTGTGAAAAGCATGCATTCTATAAAGGCAAGCATAATGTAATTTAAGGGTCCCAAATTTGTTTTGATCTATATGCCTGCATACCATCACGTTATCATCTGCATAATATCAAGGCATGCATGTATTTTTTTATTTGTTTATAACTGCGTCAATTGACTGCAAATGAATTGGTTCATATTTGGGTGAATGCCATCTACATTTTTTATTTGCTTAACTGAAGATTACCGAGCATGCATAGGCCCAAAGTCGTACCGGTAATTCTATGTTCAGAATTGGCATGTAATGAGAATGTGCCCTTTTTTTCTTCTTGCCAAATTCGATTGGTGGAGTGCAAAAAAGATATTCATGTATCAAAGCGATCTCTAGATAGATAAGCCCGTTTTTAATCGGTTTATGGAAGATTGGGGGCTATGAAATCTTTATAGGTATGGTGTTAATCCTATTATTAACACTTTGATCACGTTGGTGGTTAAAATTAACAATAGTCACGGAGGAATTATGATCCTTAACGAGCCTCCGGCACATACAAGCGTTTTTCTTCTTCATATTATTGACTGATGACCCCCCCCCCCCCCACCCCCACACACACGCACACTCGCCTCCTCACCCCAATAACTCTTCATATTACTCCCCATCACTGTCACATATGTTTTACTCTCTCTCTCTCTCTCTCTCTCTCTCTCTCTCTCTCTCTCTTTTAGGTTCGCCTATTTCGAAGAAGAAAACAAATCTTTTCAATGTAACCTTTGAATAATTTTACTTGCTCTCATCATTATTACATCTTTGTTTACTTTGATATGCGCAATAGTATGACTTTGTCTCAGGTCTACTTATTCCTTCATTAATCTCCGCTCTATATAAACGAAATTGTGCCTTTACCCCCCCCCCCCCCCCATCTCCCTATTTCACTCTCCCAAATGCTTTCATCTTTATCCATTTCCCCCTCCCTACACTCACCCACCTTCCACCCCAAAATCTCCCCACTTCTCTCTCTCTCTTTCTCGTCTGTTTCCCTTTTTCACTTCCCCATTTCCCTCTATCTTTTTTTAGTTTCAAATCATCTTTAAGTCTTTCATGAGTAGTCTCATGTTGTCACAATGGGAATATTTTTGGCGGATTTCCAGGACGCCCTCAAACGAGGGATTTGCGTTCCACTCAACACCTTTACATGCACTTTACTTCAAATGTTATGCAAAAGAAAAAATGATCGAGTGTTGCTTGTGGCTATGGATGGGGCTGGTGTTTGGGAAGGGGGAGGGAGGGGCGGGGGTCAGGACGTCACTAGAAGTGTGTGTGAGATGTGACACCTCGCCCCTCCTAATTGCAACGTTCATGTCGTTATTCTTTATTGCATAATCTTCATGTCACAAAATTGAAGACCCTTCATCTTCTTTCATTTTTCCTATTTGAAGAAAAAAATGTCAACTGACTTGTTAGCAGATGTGGTTAGACCATCCTAATTCTAATTTAAAGTACTGTTATTTAAAGTTCTCGTCTCTGTTGGCATCCCCTTCCCCCTATTTTGTAGTTCCTTTTGTAGTTACGGACTTTACGTTACGGACTCGCTTTTAAGTGGACCCCTCTGTTTCCGATATGTATTTCTACATTTTGTCGTAAATGTTTATAATTGATTTGTAATGGTCTGTTGGAAACATGAATAAATTGAAATTGAAATTGAATTTCAAAATGGTCAGGCTATTCCCCGGAATTAAATGCCGGTTGGCATAGCGGGAGGGACTAGGGAGAGATTAGGTTTAAGTTGTTGTTGTTGATCTCAGGTCGATATTACTCTAATCAAAGTTGAGCAAATCTGTCTGTGCGGCATTTTACATTGAAATTGAATTTGCGAAATATGTCAAAAATGTATTGCTCTTATTGAAAACGACTGGACAAAATTGTTCCTCAATTCATTTTTTCCTCTATGACAACGGGAAAGTGTTATCATAGCGAATATAATGATGATTTTACTGAATGTGATATACAATATGCAGTACTGTTCGTGTACGAAACTAAGGTGGTCTACATAACATAAATATCTTACCTCTACCTGCCCCCTTCACTGTTATTTAAACCAACTTTGTTTGCCTTTTTTCCTTTCTGCCTTTTGCCTTACGCCTTACTCCTTGTCACACCAAAGAAACCGACGTCAGACCGACAACAGATAGCATAATAATGGTATTACTGGGAATGGCCACCATTCGACCGGTTTGGAGTCGGTGTCGAGTCAGTTTATCGGTGTGACTGAGGCATCAGCTGTTTGGAGAGGAGGTTGAAATCGAATATGGCAACCTCTGAACCGGGGTAAACATGCATGCATGGCGTCCCGACTCTAAAATGGCTCTCCGATCATACACACAGCATGGGTTGCTAT